CCGGAGCATGGGTCCAGACCTCTAGGGAGGTCCCGTGAAGGGGCGCAAACCGCTGGGGAGCCACGTTGAGAGCGAATCGCGACGTCGGATGTTCGGGTTATCCGGCTCCGAGGCCCCTCGAGACATGAAGAAATCGCGACGGAGGGTTTCTCTACATTTTCGGCCCCTGGGGGCCCTTTGGAAAATCCGGTCCCGGGGCATGGGTCGAGACCTCTGGGGGCCCCCGGGAAGGGCATAGACCGTTGGGGAGCCACGTTGAGAACAAATCGTGACGTCGGATGCTTGGGTTATCCGTCTCCGAGACCCCCTCGAGTCATGAAGAAATCGCGACGGTGAGTTTTTCGCTATTTTTGGCCCCTGGAGGCCCTTTGGAAAAACCGGTCCCGCGGCATGGGTCGAGACCTTTTAGGGGTCCCCAGGAAGGGGCACAGACCGATGGGAGCGACGTTGAGAACGAATCACGGCGTCGGATGTTTGGGTTACAGTCGGCCCTGATTGGTAGGTCGATCATGCCAAATCGAGGGTAGCTTGTCCTGTCGATCACGACCTCATGATGCAACCCGCATCTCCTTCGGTGCTCTGGGGCCACGCTGCCGTCGGAAGAGTCTGGTGGGTGTCCAGTCCAACCAAGTCTGACTGTAGCCGAATGTGTGCTTACCGTGCTTATAGGAGGCGGAGATAACGATGACGCCGCTAGTCCTGGAGAGCCTTCGTCGCCACGGGCGGCTTCCCCCCGGCACTGTTGTCAGAACGCATCCTGGGAGAGTTTTGGGAGCAGCGGCATCGGTATCTTTGTGTCCTTCCAGTTCAGCTCTCCTCGTGGCACGCAACCCGCGTCTGCCAGCCTTGGCACCCCCCGCGTCGTCTTGAGGGGCGTCCGGTTGACACGCACCCCGGAGGACCATCGGCAGGAGCCCCCCGCTCCCACCTTGGCTCCTCGCATTGTAGAGGAACAAAGAGCTGCACTGGCATCCCTTCTCCTCCTCCTCCTCCTCCTCCTCCTCCTCCTCCTCCCTCCTCCTCCTCCTCCTCCTCCTCCTCCCTCCTCCTCCTCCTCCTTCTCCTCCTCCTCCTCCTCCTCCTCCTCCTCCTCCTCCTCCTCCTCCTCGATGTTCGGAGTTCTGCGCTGAGTGTCCTCGGTCAGGCGCCGGACCCCCTCGGCTGCGCCTCTGGCGCCACCCCCTGGGGCGCGGCTCCACGCCCCAGTCGGGTTGACCCAAAAGGGGGTCCAGCGACAAGGGGGTGGTGCAATAGATTTGGTGCAATAGATTTGTGGGGTTGCAATACATTTTGGGGCGTGCAATACATTTCGGGGCGCAGAGGTTGTATTGCTGTATTTTCGCGTGCAATGCAGTTCTCCGGCGCAGTGCATTTGCAATACAATTGCCCCAGATCTATTGCAGCTGGACCCCGAATTTGGGTCACCCCGACCCAGGGAGGGGGGGTCAGCACACCGATCCGAGAGATCCGTGCGGGCGTACGACAGCGCATGCTCGTGCTGCTATTTTTTCCTCTGCTCCCTGGCAACCGCTATTAGGGGAACGAAAAATGACACAAACATAAAAACTCGGATGTCCGCGCGGATTTCTCGGATCCGCGCTGGACCCCCTTGGCGGCGCCTCCGGTCCCGCTCCTGGCGCGTTCCGCGCGCCAGGGAGGGGGGTCCAGCGCGGATCCGAGAAATCCGCGCGGATCTCTGAGTGTTTATGTTTATGCCACTGTTCCTTCCCCTAGCTGTGCCGCCAGCCCGCTCGGAACAGTTTGCGACTGCTTTTTTTAACACTCCGCCGCTCAGTGGGTCGGCAGTTCCTGCCTCGCCCTTGTTGCGCCCTGTCCGGGGGTGGCTAAAGGTGCCCCTGGCCCAAGGCCCCCCAGCTTTTCGCTCAATCTGAGGGCCCCCCTGGGGCCCTCTGAGCCTTGTGGTGGGGTGCTCTGGAGGCCGTGGGAGGCCTGAGAACTCCTGGGGGCACCTTGCGCCAGGGGCATTTCTAGCAACATCTTACCTGTAGGGTTAAGTCGGGCATGTCCCTCGGGAGAGCTATTCAAGAATAGTCAGAATCGGTATGTGGACGATGTTTCGTGCTTCTGTTGACGATGTTTCGTGCTTCTGTTGACGATGTTCGGCAAATGTACGAGGGGGTGAAAAGGAGAGAGGAGCCAGGGGGGAGGGATGGAACAGCAGGGGGGCCGAAGTGAGGGACTTCGCCGAGAGCTTTTTGCTGAGGGCAGCGCGTCTGGCTTCGCGTCGGCGCCGCGCCGCCAGCGATGGCCGGCGGCTGCCGCGCTGCACTGGGGGGGAGGGGGAGGGTGGGAGCCCCACCCAGGGCTTCTTCAACGGCGCCCTTGCACTATCTTGTGGCAGTTTCTGGCCAATGGGCGTCTCTCGATGACCACTTTCGAAAGCCAAGGGTCTTACATCAGTACTTCGGCGTCGTCTTCACTGTGGGTTCGGACTTTGTCTTTTGGTTGGGTTGTGCGGGGGGCAGGATGGTGAGCAGAGGGCCCGCACCAGTCCCACCGGCCATCTCTGCGTGCATTTTTCTTTGGCATTCGGCGTCGTAGGCGTTCGGACCACTGGCGATTCCTAATCGCAAGACGTTGTGGCGAGCGTCTCATGTGGCAAACTCTGGCAAACACGTGAGTTTTGATCGCTGGGAGAACCCGTTTTCGTGCATGCCGCCACGTTTGCATGGACGCAGAGGGTTTGGAGAGAGAGGGAGAGAGAGAGAGGGCGTGACCGAAACGCGCTCCAGGACAGGGTCGGGGGCCGATTTATTTTCGAGCCCGGGGCCTAATTTTCCAACGTCGTGCAACTATGAATACTGACATTCGTGAGCTTCTGGGGGGGAGTTCTTGCGGGGCCCAGGGCCGTCAAAGGGCAAAGGTGCAAGCGCAATCGACATAGCTTTCGCAGTGCCCTGGAGTACCGGTGCGTTGGAACACGAATTCCGATTGAACAGAGATCGGTAGGTCTCTTGACTCATTGATTCATTGCTTCCTTGATTCATAGATTCATTGGTGCGTTCAGTCATTGATTCCGACACGCTCAGAGGCAGCGAGCGGCTTGGCAGCATCCGCACATGAAAAAGATGAGCAGCAGGCCAGTGGCACAAGGCGAACGTCATTTGACGTTCGCTCGGGTTCGTCGAGGACATGGTGCGGCTCAGCGAAACGCGACACATTGGTTCATTGACTCATTGACTGATTGATTCAGTGGTTTTTGAGTCACGGTCTATTGACTCATGGACTCATTGATTCATTGATTCATTGATTCATTGGTGCGTGGATTCATTGTTTCAATGATTCCGACACGTTCAGAGGCAGCGAGTGGCTCGGCATCATCCGCATATGGAAAAGATTGGCAGCAGGCCAGTGGCACAATGCGAACGTCATTTGACGCTTGCTCGGGTTCGTCGAGGACGTTGTAAGGCCCAGCGAAATGGGACACATTGGTTCATTGACGCATTGATTGATTGATTCAGTGATTCATGGACTCACGGTCTATTGATTCATTGGTTCATTGATTCATTGATGCACTGATTCATTGATTCATGGATTCATCGATGCAGTCACTTTGTGATTCATTGCGGCGCGGGTTGTCCAAAGCGATGTGGGGCCTCTGGGGCGTCTTTGGGGCATCTTTGGGGCGTCTTGGGGCCCCTTGGGGCCCTTTGGGCACATCTTGGGACGGCTCTGGTACCCTAAAAGAGTTTTCGTGTATGAGGACTGATGCTCAGGGGATGAGGCAGAGGACTTTCGGACACGTTCACTCTGTGCCAAGAGTCACGGTGGCGGAGTTTCCATGTGTTGAATTGCAGACGCTTCGCAACGTGCGAAAACCACGTTCCGGGACGCTGTCGCAGACCACTTGCTCCGCCGCCGACGAAAAAATGTACGCGTGCGTGCGTGCGTACTTGTGCCCAGCCATTTGTGTCGCATCAGCTGCGTAGTCGCCTGTCTGTTTGTATGGAGTCTTATCGGATGCCGTTGTTCGTGGACGTGCAGTGGTGCGAAGTACGAATGGTTGTGGGTTTGCTTTTGTACGCCAGGCGACGTCAAATCAGGTGAACAATGCACAGGCACATGTGTGCCGTGACAGGGCCATCATGTCGTGTGATAGAAAAAAGATGTTTATGTGTGCGTGTGCGTTTGCGTGTGTGTATGTATGTGTGTGGGTGTGTATGTGTGTGGGGTGGCGTGGGGCTTTGTACGTGCGCATGCGCTGCCGCGCGGTCGGTCTTTGTAAACGTTATGGAGACGTTTGGCTCCGTCAGTTGTTCAGCCGTTGTTCCTGTCCTCTTTCGGGATGGCCTTCTCCAGCTTCCTCGGCGCCTCCGCGGGCGTTCTTGTGGTGGCTGACGGGGATTGGATCTTCGGCCACAAGGTGCCGCCGCTACGTTGCCACTCCGTCGTGCGAGCTTCCTGATTCTTCTGGGAGCTTTCTTTCGCACGGTCATCCGTGTTGTGCGTAGGGGTATTGGGGCTGTTGGCGTGGAGAGGTTTCTGTCGTTGGTGTTCCCCAGGTGCACGCTGTCGCGCTGGACGGCCAGGCGCAAATTGCGCGGCCAGGGCTGGCAATGGCGGGCGCAGTGGAAGCGCAGAAGGCTGAAGGCGCGCTGCACGTGCACGCTTTTTTGTATCCAGGTGCCTGCGGCAAGTCCCGCCCGAGTTTGGCCGCGCGGCCAGGGGGCGCATCGGGGGCGACGATGCCGGGGAGGACGCGAGGGCGCCAGGTAAAAGAGAAATGAGCACGTCTTTTGGTGGTCACGCTGTGTGTCCGAGTACTGTGCATGGAGTCGTGCGTGCGCGAGTGCGGCATCATGTGCAACACGTGGTGTCGCGCGTGATCTCGCCGTTGTCCGTCGTTGCCCCGAGGGTTTCTTTTTTGGGAAAGGTCGTCGTCGAGGGGCCGTGAACCCAAAGCCCTCGCTGTCGCTCGATGCGGCACGGCGGATTTGCAGATGGCAGGTCAGTTCAGTACTTTGTCTGATTTGGGATCCATGCTGCGGGAGAAGCTCATCACCGCAGACGCTTTCAAAGAGTTCGTGAGCTACAGTCGGTGTGCGTCGTGCCCGTCGGCGACAGAGTTCGAAGCTGAGCGGGGCGACGTTGAGGCGGCTTGGCCAGCTTTTGCGAACGACATGGCGTTGAGTCGATTGCCTGCCTTCTTCTGGAAGAGCCGAGCCGCGGATGCTGGCGCGGCAGAGTGGGCAGACGAGTACGACAAGCGGCTGCAACATTGTCTTTCTCGGATGAACCACCACGTGCATCCTCGGTGTGAACGGGCCGGGGAAAGGCGACCGCTTCGATCGTGCATGCCAAAGGGGAAGAGCGGGTGCAAGGCCGACTTCCCGTTGGAAAACCAGATGTGCGCGGAAGCTCTGCTGGTATGTCGTTGCATCGCCGTGGCCCGATGCATGCCGATGACGGGGCCTCGGAGTGCGTTGGGCACCGTGCTCCCAGCGCGGAACCACGAGTGGTTGAACGCGGGCCCCCGAGCACTCATCGCCTTCTCAGGGAGCAACGCCGACGTGAAGTTCCCGCATCGTTTGCCAATCTTGCCAGAGTCCCACGAGGTGTTGCTGTATGACTCGAAAAGGCAGACGTGCTACCGCGGCGGGGATCTTGCAACGCAGGCGAACGACCTACAAGCAGCCATGGCTCTTGCTGCGGGTTACTTTGGAGGGTATTCCGCCAAAATGCAAGACATCGGAGAAAAAGAAATGAAGAGGCTCAGTGCGACCTTGGAACGGAAAGTAGCGTCTGACGGAGCTTTGGGAGGGAACCGTACTGCAGCGGAGGAATTCCAGCACTACTCAAGGCGTCTCGTTCGAGATCTAGAGTGCAAGGGTATTGTTCGAACATCTTTGGAGTCCTGCTTGTTGTCACTGTATGCTGACCATCCAGACGCTCTAATGGCAGAGTGCATCCGCACGTTCCCTTCGGTGCGGTTTCCGGCCGTTGATCTGTTGAAGCGAGAGGAGGTGGAGACGGGGAAATCCCGCGGCTGTTCTGTCGTGTCAGCCATGCGTTCGGGCCGAGGGAATTTGAATTTCACGTACGCGGATGCTCCGTTCGCTTTGATGTACGGCTATCGCGGTGCAGCCCACAACGTGGACGTGCTCAGCCCGTACGAGATGTTGCTGCACTGGTCCATAGAGAAGATCCACCCCCCTCTCGGCCGGCAGGAAATCTACCGATCAGCTTTGACAGATGTGGGGCGTCGGTACGAGAAAGAGTGTCGTGAAGGCAGGATCCACTGCAGCATGAAAGGAGGAGAGCACTTCGTCGCGTTGGAGGCGCCCGACAGGATATTGCTTCCGGATGCCCCCCAGCTTCGCGGTCTGCGGCACGCGTGGTGTTGGGAGAAGAGGCGGCGCCTACATTTGCCCACGTGGACTTTTGGGCCAACACCGGGTACGTCGCTAGCGCAAGAGGAGAATGCTCGTCGACTGAGCGTGTACATGCGCCCGTGGTGCTTAGAGGCGCGGGGTGCGAGGTGGTGGAACCCCTTGTTGGCGAATCTTGGAAAGTGCAGAGCAGTGGAAGGGGAGAGCGTTCCCGCGTGGCTGGATATGCTCAGCGCGGAGGAGAGCGGCGAGGCATCAGAGCGGGACAACGCAGGGGGACACGTGCCGAGTGCGACTAAGAAGCGTCGCCGCCTGACGCGGAAAGCGACGTGCCCGGATGTAGCCGACGCAGAGTTCTATTACTCTTATCGGGCATCCTGGGAGAAGTACGTGGACGGTTACGTGGTTTCGAAAACGAGCCAGCGTTACATAGTGAACTTCTTGGCTGCAGCGTGCACTGTTGCGCGGGAGGATCACGTGGATTCGTCCGATGCCAGCTCTGTGGATGCCTGGAAGAATGAAGACAGTCGGGCTGGGTCCATGGAGGTCGTCCGCCAGGCACTGGATGGGATGGCTCGAATGGATGGTGCCGAGGAGTCAGCCGGGTACGGGCGCTACGCAGACATCATCTCCATGGGCCGGGCGTTGTGGCAAACTCCGCCACTCGGAAAGGAGGCCGTGCAGGGCATCTCGGAGGAGCAGTTCGACAGCAGAGGGTACCCCAGCAGCGAGGATTTGCGAAAAGCATTCGTCAAGCAGAAGAGCATGACGGACGTCCGACCAGCGCCGTACGTCGGAATGACCATGCCTTTCGCCAGTCTCTCCGTCGTGGACTACGGCCGCAGGATGGACGAGTGGCTCGGGAATTTGAAGAAGGAGCAGATGGCGCCAGAGCAGGAAGACATCGACATCATTGAACAGGTCATGCGGCGGATACGCGTGGAGTTCGAACTCGACAGAGAAGGGAGCGATTTACCAAAGGGACACAGTCACCGCGCAGCTCGAGAAGAACCCATTCGAGGTTTTGTGCACGGGGGTCCAGGGACAGGGAAAAGCCGTCTCATTCATTGGATTACCAGGATGTTCAGAGAGGCGCTGCACTGGGAGCACGGCGTGCAATTTATGTGCGTGGCCTTCCAGAACCGGGTCGCCCACGCGATGGGTGGCGTGACGATCCATTCGGGCGGAGACGTCTCCGTGGGCGGCGGAGATCGGAGTTTGTCTCACACGGACGTAGATGTTCTTTTTACCCGGAATCAGGCTGTGCGTTGGCTGCTCATAGATGAGATCGGGATGGTGTCGGACGGTCTGTTAGGGGCACTCGAGAAGCACTTGACGGACGCGGCGCAGGTGAATCGGCACCGCCACCGCGCAGACAAGACGAGCAGACCGTTCGGGGGATACAATGTTATGGCGTTCGGCGATTTTTACCAGATCCCCCCAATCCCGGCGTCGTCGGCCGTGTTCCTGCCGCCGAAGGAGGCCGTGCCGCCGAAGCAGGGCAAAACAAGCCAAGAGAAAGCAGCCTTGAATTTGTTTTGGAGCAGTGATCCTCGCGTGGGGCTGACTCATTTCTGGGAGCTCGCGGTGCAGAAGAGAGTCAAAGAAGATCCGTGGTACAGCACCGTGTTACAGGAGGCGCGTGAGGGCCGCATGTCGGACGAGTCGTACAATTTCCTGCTGGGCATGCCGACGGAGCACGCAGGCTGTTGGCCGTTTCAGGGCGGAGGCGCGTGCTGCGAGACTGCGTGCAAGACTTTGCACGTGACGTGGGCGGAAATGAAGCTGCAGGGCGCGACGTGGCGTTCCATGATGGACATGGAGTGCGCGGACTGCCGGAGAGAACGTGAACGCAGGAACCGCCTACTGCAACCGAAGGATGGGCGCGTGGTGGAAGAGCCGTTCGTGTCAGCGCCGTACATGCACAAAAACAATGACCCGAAGTACCACGCCATGCTATTGAGGGCGGCGGAATACGCAAAGGCACACCGACTGCACACGCTGTGGTTCAGCTCGCAGGACAAGCCCGACAATCCAGCCCAGGTAGCGAAGACACCGGGCAAGCTACGGAAGAGCTTGGAGAAGTTGCTCATGCTGCACGACCAGAAGACTGCGGGCATCCCAGGCATTAACTTGCTGTACGTAGGCATGAAAGGCCGCGTGACAGAGAAGATATGCAAGACGAGAAACATCGTCATCCTGAAGCACATGCCGTGCACGCTGGTGGGATGGGAGCTGCATCCGGCAGACCGCGTGGCGCAGCCAGGGTCGGGGCGCTTCCTGAATTACTTGCCGCGTTGTATGTATTTGCGAGTGGACGGTGCGGCGTGGACTGTGGATGAGAAGCTTGGCCCAGGTGTTTTCCCTCTGCACCCCGTTCAGCGCACTTGGGAACTATGCGAAAAGCTTGTCCGGCATGCCCGCCTGCTGGGAGAGCCGGGGAGACGAGCGTGGGCGAAGAATGGGTGAGGAGGGCCAGCGGGCGCGAAGGAGACGGAGAGAGGAAGCCGGGTGGGTAGGCGGGGAAAGAACGGAAGACTGACAGGGGAGCGAGAGAGGCACGTCGAGTGGAGAGGCAGAGGCACAGGGGGGGCAGCCTGAGCGCTGAAGAAGCGTGGGCGGGAATTCAGGATCAGGTGCGAAGGTGCGGCGCACGGGCTTCGCATGGATCCCGGACTTCGCGAGCACTGCATTCATGATGCAGGGGGCGACGTTGTCGGCGGGGCTTGCGGACTGCGGCGATGCATTGGACGTCGTGGGGCCTTCTGAGGCGATGACTGCATACGTCATCCTGTCGCGGCTGACGTCGGCGAGTGGGTTGCTTTTGCTGCGGGCTTTTGCGCCGGAGCTATTCCGACAAGGAGAGGCTGCGGGGCCTCGATGCATGCTGGCGTTCTTGCGAAGTCGATTCGGCGCAGGCGCTGCGGCGAGTGCGGGGAGGCTCGCTGGAGCTGTGACGTACGGCATAGCGGAGGCAACGGAGGATTACGACAGGGCAGTGGTCTTGCAGGAAGTAGGGAGAGAGCGCAGGAAGCAGCAGGGGTCGTCCTGGGCGTGCTGGTGCTGCCGACTGTCGTTCCCAGTGGCCGGTTTCGGAGCAGACCGTCGACGACGGGGGGAAGTTGGAGAAAAGTGTCTGGCTGCAGGGCACTGGCGCGAGTGCAAGGCTTGCGCGGACGCGCTATGCATCGAGCGAGCGCAGGGTACGGCGGCGCAGTTCCAGAGAAGGCAATGCAGCACGTGTGGTTTGATGCAGTTGGACGTTTTGTTTGAGGATACCAGGGACGAGTGCAACGCGTGCGTGCTTGCTGCGAGCTTCGAGGTCCACATGTGCGACAAGTGCGGGGATTACGTGTCGGGGGTGGATGCATTCCGGATACCAGGTGAACGTTCGACGTATTGTTGTTGGAGATGTAGCGGAGACCTGTGTCGATTTGCGTGCACAGTCTGCGGCGCGGAGAAGCCTGTGATCAGTTTCCGCGGAGCACCTCGCCAAGTTCGCAAGCAGACGATCCGTCGCTGTGGGGACTGCGAAGTGTGCATCGTGTGCAAAGAGAGGATACAAGACTACAGGAAGTTCGTGTGCAACGGGAAAGTGTGCGTGGCGTGCGCGCCTGTGAAGTGCCATGTCTGCGAGAGGACGCTGGCGAAGACGCGTTTTCCACGTGGCGGGCGGACAGAGCAGCGAGGCGCGGAGCGGCATGTCAGCCGGTGCCTTGACTGCCACGAATGCGCTGCGTGCAAGCAGGTTTTGGAGAAGCAGAGCTTTTCAAAGGCCGAGAAGGTATGCCGACGATGTAGCGCCACTCTGCTCTGTGAAGTTTGCGGGAAGGAGCTGAGCCGGAGCAGTTTCCCAAGGGACGGGCGGACACAGCAGCGGGGCGCGGGGCAGCATGTCAGCCGGTGCCTTGACTGCCACGAGTGCGGCAAGTGCAAGCAGTTCCTGGACAAGCAGAGCTTTTCGAATGCCGAGAAGGTATGCCGACGATGTAGCGCCACTCTGCTCTGTGAAGTTTGCGGGAAGGAGCTGAGCCGGAGCAGTTTCCCAAGGGACGGGCGGACAGTGCAGCGGGGCGCGGAGCGACATGTCAGCCGGTGCCTTGATTGCCACGAGTGCGGCGAGTGCAAGCAAGTCCTGGACAAGAAGAGCTTTTCGAAGGCTGAGAAAATATGTCGACGATGTGGCAGGACGCCCACTTTGTGCGCGGCGTGTGACACGAGGAAGGTCGCCGCAGACTTCGACGACCGCATGTTCACGAACGCGACGAACGGCGGCCGCCAAGCAGTATGCAAATCGTGCTATGAAGATGGATGCTCCGTCAGGGATTGCTCGAGGTATCCGTGCCAGAACTGTGGGCCGCGAGGACATCTGAGTTTCGGCCCAGAGAGCCTACGTCGGTTTAAGAAGAGTGGTAGAGCCAGCGAGCTGTATTGCAACGATTGCACCAGCAAGGGGGGCACACCACGAAAGAAGCAGAAGGCGAGTTGAGCGGAAATGGGGTGGCTGTCGGAGACGCATGACCAAATGGACATGCACTGGAGTGCTACGTTCTTGTGCTGATGTCGCTTGGAAAAGTGACTGTAGCGGGGGCGCCACGTAGAGGTGCCACTCCTCCCACTTGCGTAGTTGGGCCTGCAATTCGAGTATGCGCTTCTTCTGGACGCGCAGCTGGTCCATGACCTTGTCTTGCGTCGCCAGCTGTCGCGCCTTCCTGGCTTGTCGTGTGCTTGGGGTTCAGGAATCGTATTTCGTGCTGTCGTACTCGTTGTGCTCTGTGAGGGTCTGCGGCTGCGTGAGCCTCGTTGGATCGCCATGCTCTCGATGATGATGCTGATGGTGATGCTGATGATCCCCAGACCGCTGCTTTCCCTTCCCTGCCCTCGATCGAATCGAGGCAATCGGGCCGAATGATGCGAGGACGTCGATGCAGCGTAGGTCACCCCAGGGGGTCGAAGATCAATCGCGCCCCGCGCATCGCGGCCTTGGCCGGAGAGCTGCCCTTCTCCAAGGTGGCCTCGCGAGGGCGCGAAGGTAGGCCCCGCGTCGTGCATCTCGGGGCGCGATGCGCGACGTTGGCGACCTGGAAGCAGCGTTTTGTCAGTGTCGGGTTGACGTGTCGTCCCCAATTACTCTGAGCCAAACTGACTACTGACAATGTGCATGCACAGGGGTATGGCAGCATATGTTGGGCGGACCTCCGAAAGTTTCTGTTTAGGGCTTTCTTTTTTTTTTTTTTCTCTTTGTAGGAAAAATCGGCAGCACACCAAAAAAACTGGGGTCTTCCCCAGGGGCAGTTCTTCGCCCGGAATCCGTTTCCTGGGGCCCCCGGGGCTCGAAAGCGGCCCACGGCAGGCCGAGAGCGGCGGAGGACCGAGAGAACGGCGAAGATCGATGGAGAACTCGTCGTCGTCGTCTTCTGGCCAGCGCTCCTGTCGAGAGGCCGTTCTTCGAGGAAGAAAAAACGCTATAAGCTTAAACTTTCGGGGGTCCGCGCGGATTTCTTGGAAAGGCGTTGGGCCCTTCCGGCGGCGCCTCCGGCGCCGCTCTTGGCGCGCTCTGCGCGCCAGTGTACGTATAAGGTGTTTTTTCCTGAATCTAGTTTCTCTTCAGACTCTGGCAAGTTTATTTGCACGGAGGGGGTCGGGCAAGGCCCCGAAGGAGATCTGGAATCGCTCAGGCCGAAACCCACTTGCACGCTGTACCGGCCTTGCACTGCCTCGTGAGGCGGCGGAGCCAAAATCCCATGCAAGCGAACCTGCCTGAATCCAGTGACGCGCTTTCCCGAACATCGGCTCAGAATCGAGCCCCGGGCTTCCAACGTGGTCCGTCCGGCTCGGCTCTGTCGCCCCGGATCGATGTCTGAGGGCCCCAGGGCCCGACATTCGGGTGAACGTAAAGGGGGGTGGCCCAGACGGGGGGTGAATTCGGACGGCCTCGGAGGCGGCGCAGAGGAGGTCTGTAATGAAATGTGATTCAATCGTTTCGCTCACTCCGCTTGTCCATATTGCATGATCGCGCCGTGGTGGGCTAGCCGAGTTTTGGGGCCTGTTGAGGGCCGTTTTGGGGCCTCTTGGGGCCTCTTTTGGGCCTCTTGGGCGCCTCTTGGGGCGTCTTGGGGGCCTCTTGGGGGTCTCTTGGGGCCTCTTTGGGACCTCCTGGGCGGCTTCTGGGGCGGAGGGCTCGATTTTTCAGTTCTCTGTATCCCTCTTGAGCCCCTCTTGGGCCCGTCTTGGGGCCTCTTGGTCCGTCTTGGGCGGCACTTGGGCCGTCTGGGGGGCCCTCTTGGGCCGTTTCGGGGCCGTCTTGGGAGCTTCGTGGGCCGTCTTGGAGCGATCTTGGGCGCCTCTTGGGTCGTCTTGGAGCGTCCGGAAGCCGAAAAAGCCAGAACGCAAAAAACATCGGAAAAACCAATGAAAATCAACGATTTTGGCCTCTTGGGGCCCTCTTCGGAGGCCTCTTGGAAGGCTCTTGGGGCGTCTTGAAGGCCTCTTCGGCTGTCTTGGGGGTCTCTTGGGCCGTCTTGGGGTCATCTTCGGCGCCTTGGAGCGCTCTTTGAACGTCTCGGGGGCCTCTTGAGCAATCTTGGGGGCCTCTTGGGGCACTCTTGGCGCGCTCAGGGCGGCCTGAGAGGCCGCACCCAGAAGGAAAACCATCTCTGAGTTGAACCGGGCGGGACCTTGCCAGGCGGCGGGCGGGGTACTTTTCGCCGGGGGACCCCCAGGGGCCGCCCCGCGCGCGCGAACTAGTACAATATACAATTGTTAACCAGTTACCGGAGATCTTAGCACGCCTCTGGCCCGTTGGGCCGGCGAATTGGCAGGGCCAGTGGGGAACGCTGGGGAGGGGTAGGAGGGGGGGCGGGGCAGGATGGGGTGCAGTGCGACTCGGGATAACATGGTCGGAGCTCTAGACACCCTGTGCAAGAGAATAGACAACGCTATGGGAAGGGATGGGTGGGGCGGTAGGATGTATATGGCGCGAGCGCGCCTAGCTTCCCTTATCCTCTTCGCCCCCCCTCCCCATTATCCTTCCCTCTCCCCCCTCCCCTCCTCGACCGACGACGCCCCCCCTCCTCGTTCTTCGCCCAATCCCCGTCGGAATCAGGAGGAGGAGAAGGATGGTGGAGGAGCGTGGAGGAGGAGGAGGAGGAGGAGGAGGAGGAGGAGGAGGAGGAGGAGGAGGAGGAGGAGGAGGCGGAGGAGGAGGAGGAGGAGGAGGAGGAGGAGGGAGGGAGGAGGGAGGGAGGGAGGAGGAGGAGGCGGAGGAGGAGGAGGAGGAGGAGGAGGAGGAGGAAGAGGAGGAGGAGGAGGGGGGAAGAAGAAGAGCTGGAGGAGGAGGAGGAGGAGGAGGAGGAGGAGGAGGTGGAGGTGGAGAAGGAGGAGGGGGAGGGAGGAGGAGGAGGAGGAGGACGAGCAGTAGGAGGAGGAGGATGAGGAGGATGAGGAGGAGGAGGAGGAGGAGAAAGAGGAGGAGGAGGGTGAGGGGAGGAGCAGGGCGCAGTGGGTAGGGCGGCGTCGCGGCTTGGCCGTGCTGCTGCTCGCGTTGCCGGGGGGACGCCGTCCGATGGCGCCGGCAGCAGCAGGAAGAGGGACCCAGGAAGGAGAAGGGGGGAGGAGGAGGTATGTATGGGTTGGCCCTACATACGAGGTCAAGCCTGAGAAGAGCTCGAAAGACGTGCCGAAGGGCAGCGTGGCCACCAGAAGGGCACCAGTGCACCAGCCCCTATTTGTCGCCCTTGCCATTCTTGCAGCCCGAGCAGCCGCCGCTCCAGCAGCCATCACATCCTCGAACGCCTCTGCGTCCTCGACGCAGATTTGCAACACCGTCGCACAGACCAGGACGCACACGAAGCCGTCCTCCCCAGGGGGGGCGTACAACGATCCGTGGCGCCCATCTCGTAGACGAACGCCGGCGCCGTCCCGCAGGCTCGAGAGGGCAGGGCGGCGCGGGATGCGCCGCGGGGGCAGCTCATCTGCCCGTTCGCCCCAGGGCGTCGTTGACTGAGGGGGGCTCGAGGGTCGTCCGCGCCAACGCCCCCGATCCGCCAGGCGGGTTCGGGCCAACATTGCCCATGCTCTTGTCGTTGCTTTGCTCTTCGTCGCCCTTGGCAGCGCTCCCCACCATCGCCTCCAGGCCCTGCTCCATCGCTGACACCACCAAGCCCTCACCCGCGCGAACACCTCGTCCACGAACGAGGGCGGCGCCGTCACCGAAAAGCAGCGGTGGGCGATGCCGCCTCCAGCAGAGGCGCGACGGAGGCGGGCGGCGCCGCCAGGACGGCCACGGCCGTGAGCAAGCCTGCGGCGGTGCGGAGGAGGCGCACCGCCTCCCGGCACTCCGCACTGCCCGTCAATGTTGTGGCGGCGTGTAGCGCGATGAGCGCGCTTCGCCCTGCCTCGAGCGGTGCCACGCAGGCGCCCTTCACACACGGCATCGGAACGGCAGCAGGGCGTGTACGCGCAAACTCGAGCCGCCAAAGGAAGGAGGAGAAGGAGGAGGAGGAGGGAGAGGAGGAGGAGGAGGAGGAGGAGGAGGAGGGGACGAGGGAAGGAGGAGGAGGAGGAGGAGGAGGAGGGAGGAGGGGAAGGGGGAAAGGGGAGGGGGGATGGAGGGGGGGGAGGAGGAGGAGGAGGAGGAGGAGGAGGAGGAGGAGGAGGAGGAGGAGGAGGAGGAGGAGAAGGAGGAGGGGGAGGGGAGACAGGGAGGGGGAGGAAGAGGAGGAGGAGGAGGAGGAGGAGGACGAGGACGAGGAGGAGGAGGAGAGGGGGAGGAGGAGGAGGAGGAGGAGGAGGAGGAGGAGGAGGAGGTGGAGGTGGACGAGGAGACGGTGGAGGAGGAGGAGGAGGAAGAGGAGGAGGGGGAATGGGAGGAGGAGGAGGAGGAGGAGGAGGAGGAGGAGGAGGCAAGTGGAGACAAGTGGAGACAACCTCAAGGGCCCGAGGGCCTTGCTCGCCGCGATGGGCGCTGGAGCAAACCTACTCAAAGAACTCCTGACGGCTCACACCCTCAGCATGCGTTCCCTGAGCCTCAGGAGTGAAACTCACACCTGAGTTGGGGTCAACGAAGCCATGCAGCCGGGCCTCATCAAAATCGAGGAGGGGGGAGGAAACAGAAGGCCGCATGCCGCCCGCCACCCGACCCATCCCTCCCCCCCCCCCCCCGACGAAGCGACACGCTGCTCCAGCACATCCTCGAAGCCGCCAGTGGCGGCCGAGGAGGGGAGCTTGCCACTCCAGTAGTCCCGCAGGTCCTGCGCAGGCGGGCGCAGGTCCTCGAGGATGGCGCTGAGGCGACCCCGAACACGGGCTCGTCCCGCGGCGGGCTCTCTGAGTGCGGAGGCCTGGGCGCCTCGCCCTTCGACAG